CCTCTGGCACAATGTTATTTTTTTAATTTACAAAACAACATAAATCTTAAACGTGTACATAGAAGAGTAATTAAACTCTTTCCTTTGTCAAGAAATAACTATGAATATATTAGAAATAAAAATTAAATTTGATTTGATATTTCAACAATATTTCTCTTTTAATTTAGAAAATTCAACTAATACAGATTCTTGTACTCTTTCTGCATTAAAATAATTATTACGTTTCTATACGCAAAGATAAATAAATTGCTGAAATATAATGTGTTAAACGTACATCTATGTCTAAAAAAATATTTAAAAAATAAAAAATTATTTAAACTTATTTAAAAAATTCAACCAATACAGACATAATTCTCGTATTCTTTATGAATTAAGATAATTACTTTCCATATGCGAAGATAAACTAGTTGTTGAATTATTACATGTTATAAGTTTATGTAATATATACTTGCCCGATATTATTTTCTTTTAATTAGAAAATAGCATAAATTTTTAAATGTATAGAAGAGTGAAGAGAAGTAAATATTTTCTTGGTTACAACGATAACCGTATAAGTATATTTTAGATAAAAGTCCAACTCAGTTTGATTTTTCGACTATATATCAATTTTTGTTTAAAAAATTCAAGTAATATAGATAATTCTCGTATTCTTTCTGCATTAGATAATTACTACACTTATATACGCGAAGATAAACGAGTTGTTGAATTATAATATGTTATAAATTTACGTAAGAAATTCTTTACTCGCGTGATATTATTTTCTTTTAATTAGAAAACAGTATGAACTCCTAAACGTACATAAAAAAATAATAAGAAAAAAAATTAAACTTTTCTTATATCATAACGATAATTATGAGTACATTACAAATAAAGTTAATTCGATTTTTCGATATCTCTTTTTTAATTTAAAAAATTCAATTGACACGGATCTTTTTGTATTCTTTCTGTATTAAAATAATTATTAAGCTTCCATACGCGAACATAAACAAGTTGTTTCGATACAATGTAAAAAAAGCCACCAGAGGCGGAGAGCTTTATCTATAAAAAAAACTATCTATAAAAAAAACAATATAATTCTGTACTCTGAAAACAAACTGAAGGTTTCAAGAGGAAAAGTCCAGACATATATCATCGCAGTTTCGCAAACGTTCAAGATAAGCTCACGAAACAGCGGTGTTCCATGTAGCCTAACTTGAAAAACACACAATTAAAAGGAAGATGATGATTCACGCGATGTACAGATTCGAAATGGTGTAAACGTTTCCAACATGAATCGCATCTCGCTACTCCGATCTCGAGGTTTTCGATGCGGCGCGTCGCATCGCGTTGCAAGATAGGTCTCATAGTAGACTCGAAAAACGGGATCTCATGTCATACGACCTAAATCTCACGGACAGATCCGACCGAACGAAAGGTTAGAAAGAGATCTCTTCGAGGTACGGCAAAATATATTAACATGGAGAGATACGAGACTCACGGTAAGGACGCGTCGAGACAGTGGCAGGACACTCCTTTGTATCCAGGGCCGAGCCAAGCGAAAAATCCTCGTGGTTTCAAGACACCGCGTTGTTCTCCAGAACTACATTGGGCGACGCACACACATCAGTCGCATCATTCACCTACAGGAAACAGTCGCGATCGACGGGCTTTCCATACAACTTGCCGCAGGTTCGCGCGAGCCCTGGCGCTCGGCTCCGACAAGTCGGTATAAATTCGTAGAAATCACATTGATAGCCGTTCGAACGTCAGCTCACTTTGAGAATCGTAGACCAGCTGTGTTTTTGCCTGACCATCGAGGAACTCGAGCTCTCGAGCATGCGCTCTCTCGTGCTCTCTCCGCGATGCCGCCACTGCCGCCTGGTGCTGCCCCTCTCATTCAGTTTATCCTACTGTCACTTGGTTCCGTCGCTTGTCACATGGTGTCGTCACAGTCAGCCGCAGTGATTGTCAGCTGTGATTGGTCAGTTCGAGTTAGTGTGGTGCAATCGGTGTAATCTTTTGTCTTTAGTCATCTCGTGTGAAAAAGAAAAACAACTCAGTCAGGACTCAATGATGCTTTAATATCATTCGTTCTTTAATTCTTGGTTGAATCTAAATGTAGAAATCAATCGTAATAAAGGATCGTATAAAGGATCACTGTGCGCTCATTGACTGTTTTAATTATTGAACACATTAGAGGCGGTATGAAGTGTCGCTGCTCCAATACGCTGTTCAAACTGAATACGATTGTTGGAGAGAGAGAGAGAGAGAGAGAGAGAGAGAGAGAGAGAGAGAGAGAGAGATAATGTTTATTAACATTTTAAGACCTCCTGTAAGAACAAATTAAAGCAAAAGTAATAAAAAGAATAAAGAAAACAATTTATGATATTAAAGAAAATTAATTATGAAAGAAAAAGAGCGTTTATTATTATTTTAAAGCTGTGTTCTCTAAGAACACAAATAAATTAAAACAATAATAATACAAGAAATGAAGGAAATAATTTACAATATTAAAGAAAATTAATTACAAGAGAGAGAGAGAGAGAGAGAGAGAGAGAGAGAGAGAGAGAGAGAGGAAAGACTTTCAGCATCTTGCATTATGTAATTTACATTTATTAACATAAGAAAAGACGTAAAAGATTTTTTTCATTCTAAACGAATCAAGTGTAACTTTATTACAGCTAGATTACGATTACATTAAAAGAAATATTAAAGCTTTAAAAATATATAAAATTGCGTGGAAAGATTTCACATTTAAATTTCAATTAATTTTATTTTTTCAATTCAATTCAATATACATTTCATTGATAAGTAAAATACAATTTTAAAAAAAATATCGGGCCCCTCCGGGATTTGAACCCGGGACCTCCTGCACCCAAAGCAGGAATCATACCCCTAGACCAAGAGGCCTGATGATTGTTCAGCGTCAAGAAAGGTAGATCTGGGACATACTATAGTGTCTTACACCATGCTTAGTGCTGAAATACTACCGTATCTCAGATTGTAAAAACTAATGTAATATAATAAATAAAAAAAATATTCAAGTATCGATAAACACAAAAAAGATTTTTATTCCGGATGAATTTAATACGGTAGACTATATATACGCAATAACACATTGTTATTAATGCGAGTTTGAGTCTAAATATATCATCATTTGTTGGTAATTGTATACTAATATATATATATATCCAGCAGTATTTCTTAAATTTATTTTACGAATGATAAAAATGACAATGTTAATTGCTTTTGAACTAATCAGATCGAGCTGGGAACTAGAATTTGTTGAACAAGATACTTGTCTCATAAAAAATTTAAAAGAGCGCAAAAATAAAAATAGAAATTTATATTATATATATATATAT